ACCATAAGCCCTTATTGGTCAGCTCGGCTGTGGGGGAGGAGTATGTGTATCTGTGAGGGTTTTTTGGGGAGGGGAGGGATGAGGTGGTCTAAGTTGAAGGCCTTGGCTGAATGGCTGGTCATTATGCAAATGAAAGGAGGGAGAACTGGGAGTGTGCCCATTTGGCCCTCTTTTCCCTTGGTGGCCCATTGAGTATCTTGTGCACACATTTGGCTTGACATGAGCTGGCTATGCTGACATGTGAGCCTACTCTCTTCCTCACTCAGGCAGCCCAGCACCTTTTATATAATCTGTTGAATTCATTAAAACTGGTGACTGGTTCCTTCAGGGTTGGCTGCCAAGTATCTGCAGTATAAGTTCCTATATGTTTACAGAAAATCTCACAGTTGGGCTAGGCCTTCAACACCTCTGGAGGTAGGCACGTCATTAGTAGTATGGGGTATTTGCCTTCTAAACAGTGGCAGTAATCTATACTTCTCCAGAATATTTTCTCTCCTGCTTCTGTAGTAGAGACCCTTGCTATCTCCCATCACAAATACTGCGAGTGTTAGATGCTACTGTAGTAGCTTCTTTTTTTTTTTTTTCCCTTTGTGCTGAGGCAGTTAGGGTTAAGTGACTTGCCCAGCCGTAGTAGCTTCTTTAGAGGTCTGCCTCCACTTCTACTTCTTTTCCCCAGTATTTTTTTCTATGACTATCAGATTGATTTTCATCCATTCTGTATTCTGATCATATTTCTATCCTTCAAAAGATCTGTGATTGCTTTAATGGGTACTCCCTCTGATAAGGTGGATCACAACCCAGCCATAGTGTTTTATTCTGTGAGATTCTTGTCTTTGCCCTCCAGTAAACCTTCCATGGGGAAGCCACCCGATATGCTGGGAATTCTTTTCTAGTCCTCCTGACATTGTGTTGCTGCTGAAATGTCAGCTGGTTGTTAGCTATTCCATGTGACCAGTCCAATTTCTTTTTTTTTTTTCTTTTTAAAAAAAGATTGGGTTTTCCCATCTTGTTTTGGCAACTCACAAGCCAGGTGCCACTATCAGTTGGCACAGGCATTTTGACCTGTTCCATTTTCTACCTGGTGGCCCTTCTCCTTCCCTGGCCCCAGAGTCTCATCATTTTAATGCCAAATTTAGTGTAGAAACCCAGTTGGCACACTCCTCTGCAGACAGAACTCACAAGCTGAAGAGATCTGCCCAGTCTCAGCCTCCTTGTTAGCTAGGATTATGGGCATATGCCATCATGCCAGGCCCCATTTCTTTTAAGGGCTACCTTTCTCTGATATCTGTGATATCTCTTCTTTTGTGTACTTCTTCATTGGTAATGTTGCTTGCTCATACCTACCATGCCTCTCCTTTGCTTTTTGGTTGACCCTCAGCTTTATTTGGAGACTGTTATACTCCATGATCCATAGTGACATACCATCACCAGAAGATCAGTGGTATTACAAAGATGAGCCTTTATTTCAGAAAAAAGCTTGAGGTCCATGAAAATACTGTACAATTTCCTAAAGGCAATCCAAGTCTGCTTGCCTACACTTTTTCTGTTCTGGGTGCAGCTCAATGTCTATCCAAGAGAATATGGACTGATGGACTGACTCTGTAGGCTAGTTGTTCCTCCAGCTACATTACGTGATCTAGAGTGTAGACATTCATCAACTGGGTTTTTCCAGTGTGGATATTTACACCACACACTTTGAATGATTATGAAAGTCATTTAGGAGGCTCTTCAATCTTCTCCAGTTGATGCAGTCCCCACAATATCATCAGCAAACAGCAATTGGAAGACTCATCCTTATATAATTCCTTCCCCATTTGGATCCTGTATTGGACATCCTCTATGATATTGGCAAACACTCTTGGCAAGCATATAGCTTCATGTTTTGTGTCCTTTTTTGATAGTAAGAATTAGAAGGTCATCAAGCAAAGTATCTCTGTTGTTTTATCTTTAAAGGCCTTATATGATTTCAGCATGTGCATGGGAGATACCTTTAAAGTAGGGTTTTTCTCTACCAAATCAAATGATTTTGTTCAAAAGAAAAAATATAAAGTAAGCACAGCAGGATTTTGTAGTCTATGTAACTTTCAGCCAGTTACTGTAAAGGTGTAGTTTGCTGTAGAATATCATGTGTATCATGTGTGAAAGCCTGGCATTTTTTTTTTTTTTTTTTGGAGCACTGGTCCTATCATTCAGAAATCTTAAGTGGTTTCTTATTGTCTACCAAGCAGAGGTCACACTCTTTTGTATGACAATCAAGACTTTTCCTTTCCTACCTTATCTTGTACTGTACTTTCTCAATGAAATTGAATTACTCTGTTCCCCATACCCTATACTTTTCCATGTCATCGGGAGTGTACTGGTAAATATTTAACAACTGGCTCTCCCCAAAAAAAGCAGACACAACATTGTTAAGTTTAATCTGCGTTATTAACATTTCCTCTATCATTTTCTTAAGTCTAGATAAACGATAAATCAAGCCCTCATCTGGAGCATTTACTGATGTCCCAGGTATAAATGCTCCCAATGAAAATTTAACAATTGGCTCCACTCCCCAATCTGTCTGTGACCTGAAAGTCTCTCTTCTCTTATTTCTGACCACTTTCTAAAGGCCAGCTCAGTCACTACTTCTTGTAATGACCTATTTCCCCTTAGACTTCACACAGGGCTGTTTTACACCTTTAGGTTGCTAAGGCTGGAGAAGATCTTAAAAATGATCTTGTGCCTTTTTATCATGATGGGGAAAATGAGGTCCAGAGAGGCTTTCGCTTGCCCAAAGTCACACAGGTAGTAAGCACCAAAGTTGGGATTTGAACTCAAGGCACCTGACTCCTTAATCTGGTGCTGCTTCTACGATACAATCTGCCTCTCTAAGTATAATTGTGCATTATAGTTATTTGTGTCTTATCTTTTATTAGATTTTGGGTCCCATGAAAGCTGGCACTTGTATTTTAACCAAGCTTTGTATTGCCCACCCCCAATACCTACTGCAGTACTCTATGTACAGTAGATGCTTAATTAATGTAAGTTGAACTGAATCATAGGCAATTATTTCCTGTCAGGGAATCCCATTTGCAAATTTCATCCAGATTGTTGGAAGGACCCATTCACCTTTTCTTTAGTCTTATGATCCGATGAGATAACAAATGTAAAGACCTTGAAGTACTACGTAAATCTAGGTGTTATAATTTTTCTCTCACACTCTTCTGTTATTCTTTCATTCCTCTTCCTGCCTGTTCACTGATAAGGTCTCTGGAGTCATAGAATTTCAGAGCTTGAAAGGGACCTTAGAGATCTGTTACTTCATAATTTCTTCTAGAGTTTGTTCTCTTGAATTCCTTTACACTCAGTCTTCCTTTCTCTTTCTTTATCTGATCTTACAAAACACTGGTCCCCAGGGTGATATTTGAGGACTCTGAATGATGGTAGACCCCATCTCTGAAAAACAACTCTAGAAGCACCCTTACCCCCAAGCCACAATTTATGCCATGCTGAGGTATGAATACCATGATTATCACCATGATGCTGCCAGCATCTTTCTGGGTTCTAATTAATGTGCATATGCCCTAATTAAAGATCCTGCTGTGGAGAGGAGAGCATCATAATTCAGTGAAAAAAGTATTAGCTCTGGAGGCAGAGAACTTGGGTTCCGATCCTGCTTTTGATACGTAACTTCTGGCAAGTCACTGACTCTTCCTGGGCCACCTTACTTTTAAAATGAATGGAGTATATTAGATGGTCTGTGAGGTTTCTTCTAGCTTTAGATCTGTTGTCCTAGGGTCCTTGATCCCATTGGAATGGGATTGTGGTTCTCAAGACAATCTAAAAAGTGAAGAGAGATCTCTATGAGATAGGACCTTTTTAGAGTAGAAAGGAGTGTCAGCTCCCTGAGCTAATAGCTCTTAGACTGCTTGAGGCCTGAAAATTAGCAAATGGAAATATATGGAATCCCTTATAAACCTGGGGGGACCTGTCTAAAATAGGACCCCATGACCTTTGAGTATTTATTTTCTCCCTAATTCTGGTTAATCTCTTTCCCACTATCTTGGAAGTTTGAAGTGCCCCATTTCTACACAGCTCTGTTCAAAAACAATCCTCAATTACAAATTGTATCTAATAATTAAGCAGCAGGAGCCTGGGTGGGGCAAGAGACACTGGGTACTAGGTAGAATCCAGGGTAAGGTTTCACATATACATTCACCTGTGTAATTTACCTAGTAGAATTTTTATCTGACTTCTGTGCATTCAAATAACTACTTCCCAGAGCTTTATGATGTTGATATGGAATAGCATCAATGAATAGGACTTCCCACTGAGCACAACTGGCTAGCAGTTTGTGTACTTCTGCCGCTTTATCCAGTCTAATTCCCACCCTGTCTTCTCACTGTAATAACCATGTTTCAGGCCCCAATCCCTCAATTCTCACTCATTAGATACAGTGAAGTGACAGAGTGAGCTAGGAATTGGGCTAAGCAAGCCAACCCAGTTATAGAAGGCAGCAGAAGAATGATGCCTTCACTGCTGCAGAGCACCAGCTGAGGAAGGGTTGAGGGAGATACTCACATATGGATAATAGGGTCAGTGCCTTCCAGGGGAAGCTTCCTAGGAATTACAGAAGGTTATTGGCTGGCCTCACTTGTCATGGGAGTAACACTCAGTGTTTGTTTTCATCTGGCTCAGTGAGAGGGGAAAGGTGGGAGATAGATCATAGGCTCAAGGAAGGAAGAGATTTTCCCCTGGCTACCTTGCTAAGAGCTTGGGGGTACAGAGGACAGAAATCACCCACAGTGCTATTTCTGTCACTTCTGGGTGGTGGCATAAGCCTTGATGCTATCTCTTTGCAGAGCCCAGGGATAATGAGATCATAGTTCCTGAGAGCAGAAGCATCATCCTCCCCTTGCTTTGCATTTCTCCACATATTGTAGCACTGAGTTTGACACACTGCCAGGGGAGTGTTAGGAGCTGTCCAAGGCATCTAACCAATTTGTTTTGTCTCTGTGAAGAATTCTTACTGTGGATGGGCTCATTGATGACATCAAGCGGCGGAGATACTACGAGAAGCCATGTCGCCGACGACAGAGGGAGAGCTATGAGACTTGTCGGCGCATCTACAACATGGAAATGGCACGAAAAATTAACTTCTTGATGCGCAAGAATCGGTTGGACCCATGGCAGGGCTGCTGAAGCCAGTGGAGATTAAGAGACCTAATGTGAAAACTCCCTCATGGGCAATAGCTATGTCTCCACAGGTTTCTTTAAGAACCTAACAGTCGGGGAATTTGCTTCCCAGTTTTCCCAGCCCTGGTTTCTCTTGCCATCTTTTCAATCCCAGTATATTCAGATACATATATACATGCATGCATGCCAGGCATTCACACTCATTTACCCCCCTGCCAGCAAATGATATCATTAAACGTTCCTCCTTGTCTCCATGTCTCTTTGATGAATGGAAAACCCCACGGGACTGGGTCTTTGCCATTCTGAAGAAATTGGCAGGGCAGAGATTTCCAAAACGAACAAGTGGAATATAACACTTTTATTCTGTTCCTTGAGCCCTAATAGTTCCCAGTAAGGAAAGCTAAGGACTCCAGATAAGAAGTGGGCCCCTAGTATTGTTTGAAAAGTCATCTCTTTTCTCTCCAGAATAATTTCCTAAATCGAAGAAGGCTAAGGCTCATGTAATTGTAATAAAGTCTACTTCCGAAGCACCAACCAAACTATCATGCTGAAATCTTTCCCCATGGGGATTCCTGGAAAACAATCCAAATTATTCCTGTTTTCTCTCTTTTGTTCAGAAGGGGGGGAAGTGGATGGGGACAGGGACGACAGGGATGCAGGTTTGGTCGGCACGGCGATAAGACCAGACAGGGCTGAGATGGGGTTAAGCTAATAGGCATAAAGGTGAATGGGGAGCAGCTAAAACATGGAAAAGATGAGAAGATGGAGCACACACGGGACAGACACGAATCAAGGAAACGGTGTTTCCCACCCCACCCCACGTTCTCTTCCCCAGCAGGACTTTTGGGCATGTGACACTGACAGCTTGTGGCATCAGGCCACTGTGGGGAAGGCCAGCTGCTTTGCTTCCTCTCCTGCTGTCTGTTTGCTCTGGCCGTGCTCCCCAGATAGCTGTGTTGCTGATATTAGGCGAGTAGGCGCCAATCCCTGCAGGGGGTGGTGGGGAAGGCCAAGGTGGGCAGCCCACCCCACTCTTCAGCAGGCTACAGCCTGTGTGAAGCCTTCTGGAGCTGCAAGGCTTTCAAAAAGGAAATCAACAGTGCAGCCAGGCTTCCTTCCGCTAGTTTGCTGATGTTCAGACATCTCCCTCTGGTGGTAAGGAAGGATGGTTTCGGGTCACTTCTAGCCCTACTCATTTATCTTCTTTTTAACTTCTTTCCCTAAGGATTCCCATTTATACGAACATCCTTACTGATTAAGCTGGGGCTATAATAAGATAGGATGTAACTCATGTGGTCCTTGCCCTCTTGAGCTTCTGCCCTTCCATTAATGTCAACACTAAGAGTACTTGAGGGATACTAGAGAAACAAAAGGTATCCTCGGCTCCTAGAAGTTGATAATCCAGCTGAAGACTATATACGTGTGAAACAAATTTTTTTAAATCCAATTTTATGTAGAATTAGTCACTCTTAACATCTTTTTTCTGGCATTGTATTTTGTGAGTGTTTTCCCTTTGTCTCCTGTGTCAAAACAAGATTTAGGAATATATTAAAGCAAGAAATCAATTACATATAAATTCAGAGTGGACGAATTCCACAAACATTAAGTAGCTACCCTTATGAAGGGGGAGGAGAAATACAACACTGAGCTACCTTAATCCTTGTCCTCATGAATTTACAATATAAGGGGGATGGATAAGTTACAAATACAGATAAATAGGATACAAAAGGTTCCATAAGTATCAAAGTGCTATTTGAAGGCCACAGTAAAGAAGGAATTGCTTTGATGCAGTTGATAGAGAAATTTAGGAGTTGGTTAAATTTAGCACCAAGCTTTATAGGAAGAGACATTCAACATGTCTAAAATAGAATTGATTTCAATTTCCCCTCTTTGAAGTCCATCCTCCCTCGGCAACCAAAATTAACTTCCTAAGGCATAGATGTAATTGTCAGAAGAGTCAAGAAGCATTTATTGTGGGGCTGACAGGCACTGCACTAAATGCTGGGAACATAAATACGAGCAGAGAAATTGTCCCTGTCCTCAAGGAGTTTACATCCTAATGGAGGAAGGCAACATCACAAAGAAGGGGGGAGGGATAGATACCCAGCAGTGCCATGGTAGGTATAGTCCAGAGAGGAATGAAGACAAAACTGGCCTGGGTTCTTTACTTTAAATGGAGGTTTTGAAAGGAACTGGCCAATTAGAAGGGGGCAAAGTATGCTTCTAGTGTGAGAAAACCAGGTGGAATGAAGTTTGAGGGTGAGGAGGCTGCTGTGGCACGATGGAGAAAGTCCAGATTCAGGAGCAGAGCCCAGAGAGAAATGAAGTCATAAGTGGCCTGAGCTCTTTCCATTCACCTAACTGTTGCTAGGATAAAATAGAAGCTTTTCCACCTGGCTGGTATGCTACAGTCTGGCTCTAATAAATTTTTCAAGACTCATTTCACTTTAGTCCACTTTTGTAATTCTTATTCTAGCCAAATTTACCTGATTGATGTTCCTGAATTCCACTTGCCATCTCCCACCTCTATCCCCTTGCCTAGGTACTGGTACCTCCACCTCCCACCTCCAGGCTTGACTGCATTTCTTCCCTACCTGAACCTCCTATAATCCCGAGCATCTATTACTGTGCTTTGTGCATAACATAAACACTTGTGCATTGAGAAATTGCAAACAATGGGGCAGCTAGGTGGTGCAGTGGATAGAGCACTGGCCCTGGAGTCAGGAGGACCTGAGTTCAAATCTGCCCTCAGACACGACACTAGCTGTGTTACCCTGGGCAAGTCACTTAACCCCAACTGCCTCGCCCCCCAAAATTACAAACAAAGATTCAGAGAAATGTGGGAACATTTTATGATCTGATATGGAGTGAAATAAGGAGAACCAGAAGAGGCATATGCACTGACCATAACAACATAAGAAAACATGATACTAAAATGAAGTTGAGTTCTGAATGACTGAAAGCAATCATGGTCCCAGAGAAGTTAATGAAACATACTTTCTTCCTCTCCATAGAGATAGGATGGTTGTATACATTGTCAGGCAGTGAATACATCTGGTACTTACTCTTTTTAATAGGGAAGGGTATTTCTATGACTGCAATATAAAAAGAAAAGTTATTAATAAAACTTGGTTTTAAAAGTAAGTAAATGTTGAATGAATGAGTGCTCTTGCCTGCCAAACCTGTATCCTCTAGACTTCCTGTTAAGGGCATCACCAACCTTGAAGTCATCCAGGGATCAACTCTTCCCCCTCCCTGCCCCCAATGCCATGCAATGAGGGGCCAACTCTTACTAATCCTTATCACACCATCTCTTTCATCTGCCCCCTTCTCTCCATTCACACAGGTCTACCAACCCTTGGTCCCTCATCGCATCAGTGGTAATGGCCTCCTGCTTGATCTCCCTGTTTCCAATCTTTTCCATCTCTATTCCATGCTCTACATAGCTGCCAAAATAATCTTGTTAAAAGGCACAGCATAATGACAATAGCATTTATATAATCTTTTAAGGTTTGTAAAGTGCTATAGGCATAGGTTAACTCATTTGATTCTGAAAACTGTGAGGGAGGTGTTATAATCCTCATTTTACAGATTAGGAAACAGGCTCAGAGAGATTAAGTGATTTGACCAGGGTCACACAAGTATCTAAGGCAAAATTCAAACACAGGTCTTCCAGATGCCAAGTCCAGCACTCTCACCCACTTCAGCTTCAACTAACCACCTTTCTCCTGTTCAAAAGCCTTCAGTTGCCAAAGATACAACAGGAAGGCATGTCAGGTCATCTAATCCAAAGTCCTTCATTTTAGAAACTAAACAGGCCCAGTGAAGGTATTTAAGCCTACAGTCACACAGCTAAGTATAGTCGAAGAACCAGAATTTGAACCCATATCCTTTGACAGAAACCCAATGTGATGATTAAAAAGATCTAAGAGACATAGTTTAATTTAATTTAATGTAATTTAATCATTTTATTAATAAGACCAGTAGGTTATTAATAAAAGGATGGTCATTTGGCCGTCTCTGTTAGACCACAGACAAACATGGCAGCAGGCTCACAGTTTACATACCCTTTGAAGAGCAGGTGTTCAGTGAGGGGCAGAGAGTGACATGTCACCCTTGGACAGAGAAAACATCTCTATATTAGACCACTCCCAGCCTTGGGAAGCTCTGAAGGGTCTCGAGTGGAAAATGCTTTAGAAGCCCTGATCTAGACAAAAGGATCTGACCAAGATTGAGGAGGGTTAATTCAATCTTATTATCAGTAATGTCCTTCAAGAAATTTAACTGTTTAAAATCAGGAATTTGGAAGAAGGGGGGAGCTCTGAATCTCCCCAAGATACTGGTTATTAATAATCATTTCTCTCACCAGCTCTCTCCACTGCATCCCATTTCCTCCTGGATAAAATGGAAACAACCCAACCTGACACTTCAAGTCCTCCCCAGTTTGGCTCCAATTTATTTTTCCAGCCTAATCTCATGCTACTCTTCCCTTCACACTCAAGTTCTAGCCAAAATGAAATACAGCAGTTGCTCCACTTAACATTCTGTCTCCTGCCTGTCTACCCAAAGTATCCCTGTGCCTGGGCTTCACTCTCTCCTCACTCCACTTCTGAATCTTTATTTCACTCAGGTGTCACTGTGTTCTGAAGCAGAAAAGGCACCAGGCTTCAGACTTTCAAGTCTGTCTGACACTCTGTAAACTGGGGCAAGTCACCTCATCTCTCTGGGTCTAATTTTCCTTAATTGAAATATGGGTGGGTTGGACTGATAACCTCTAAATGGTTCCTTTCAACTCTAATTTTTCATATCCATGATCTGTCCACTCCACCATCCTCTGTGAATATTCTCTAAGTCAAGGGGCAGCTAGGTGGCACAGTGGATACAGAATCAGCCCTGGACTCAGGAGGACCCAAGTTCAAATCCAGCCTCAGACACAAAACACTCGCTAGCTGTGTGACCCTGGGCAAGTCACTCAACCCCATTGCCTAGTGGAAAAAAAAGATTCTCTAAGTTGTATGAGTTTTGGTAAATCACTGGAATTAATATCTATAGATCAGATTTGGATTTACTTGTATAGGCCTCAGTAGTAGAGTTTGTAAGAGTTTAGGTTCCCTAATTTTAAGGGCTACAAACTGATCCTGTCTCATGAGGGGGATAAGGAAGATGGATGGAAGATTGATTTAACCTGGTCAAATGTTTTGCCTAACATTGGGTTTGTTTGGTATTGAGTGGTATGTAGAGTGGGACTTTCCAGAGGATGTTGTTCAACTTTCCATTTTTCCTGTTGCTATAGATTCTGGAGAACCCCTCCTGCAAGTCAGTGTGATTAAGAAAAATGTACAGCCTACCCTTTGCCTTTCGTACAGACCAACCACAGTCCTGGTTTACTTTGAACACTGGACTATTTTTAGTACCCTATATAACCTGTTACCTTTTCAATTTTATAAAAAGCTGTTCTGATTGTCAGAAGTGTCTCTGGCTACTGAGGGGCCATTGCCCTACTTTTATTGGCAACTGTTAACCTTGCTAATAAA